TACGCGAGTTATTTATTCACCTTGACCGGGAATAGATTTATCAACGCGATGAGAACAATGAAAACCGTTATCCACACCGCAGTGTCAACTCTTTCCCCTACTTCCCAAATGACATTTGTTTTCCCGTCCGTATATCGATATCGGGCTGTTTCTGCGGCACCCACCATATTGTGTGTAGCGACAACCGCGTATGCGAACCTAGACTTGAAGTCAGCAATTGGAAGTGTTAAAGTATCCTACCTGAGGTGTGTGTTTTGAAACAGACCAATATGTCCAGCCAACCGCAAAACCCACCCCACGATCTAGAAATCTTCGCGGGAATTCCATTACCGGAGCGTTGACAGGCATTAGGGCAGTCATTTCTCCCAAACATGATATTACAGCGCCGACCACCATGCCCATAAGTAAGTATGCGACAACGGCGCCGCCTGGACCAGCAAGGGCGAGAATCATACCACTGCTCAGGAATAATCCTATGATATGCGCGTTAGATATGGTAGGTAAATCTTTTGCCACTTGAGGCACCTCTAACTCACCATTTCCAATGGTGCTGGTATCGTCCCGTGAGGGTCAGCGTGTGTAGCGTATTTGCCGATTAAAAGCCTGCATACCCAGAGAAAGCGATCATCTGCAAACAGTCAGCCACACCGTCAGTTATGTAGATTGCAATAGTGTTCATATAATCGACCTTACATTGATTTGAACCTCAGGTAATACCCTCCTATGATAGAGTAAGCGCAAAAGTCTGATATATAGATATAAAACTATCCCAGTATATTAATTTTGAGCACTTACCATAGACTGTTACCCCGAGTCTGAAATACATCCTCCGCATACACGGGTTCCGCCAACAGTAGGCCACATTCTGGTTGCGAGTCACGCGTGGTGATGGGCCCATGGACTATGGTCGTGCTGGAATCTTTAATGCTTGACGCAGAGTTCTCCATGATGAAAGTGTCACCCATGCATGATGCTCAGGGAGCGTGAGCGTGTGAGCAGCACCGTATAAACGTATATATAGGAGTATGTATAGCTTTAAATTCTCAGCCCTCAATGGCGAGTGATTTTCTTGGCTATGTATGCCCAGATAATATATTAGGAGCGATTGTCTTTGCTCTCACTGCCGACGGGGGTATGTTTGGAAATTATAGCAACTGTTTTAAGACTAGAATTGGGGGGTGAGAAAAGGACGTAAAGAACGACGAGAGAACTTCTTCTGTTGTTGAGGCTGAAGCCAGTACATTTATAATCTTCGTATGGAGACAATAATTGCGCGGAGATCTTCAAGCTGCGTTGACCTCACCCCTTGGACGGGTTACACGACCTAGAATCCTTGGGCTATGCTCAATGAACACAAATGCGCGATCGCCTAATTCATAGACGTGGTTGGTTATCCCAGCTGTCTGTGAGATCTCCAGATAGGCAGTCGATACACAGGCTAGGCGAAGCAATTGACCAGGAAGTTGTTGCGTCCTCCAACAGAAACAAAAATGCAGGCCGAGTTTTGATTACACGCAATGTAACCCCCATGCTGGGTAATCTATATATCCCTGCCACTACCATGTACGGAGGAAATAAATTGCTGCAGGCATGCGTATAATCCCTACCCCCTCCTTCGGTAAGAAGCCTTGTCCCGGCAGCAATGTAAGATGAACTCGCAACCATTCTACTTATATACGCTTGGTTCAGTGTGAAGGTTCCGTTCAAAGGCAGGATCCGGGGCTGGTTCCAACAACTGTTGAGCGTTCGACGGACTGGCCTACATGTCTATGACCCTCATGTCCAGAAAGAGCAATAAACCTGTGAAATGAACCATCTGAACAGTGACGGAACCTAACTTTGTTGCTCAGACTACTATATGTAAGTGCGAATGGACGGATACCAAGGCTATGTGTGATTGGATAGGGGCTAGGTTTCCCTTGATCCGGGGGGAGTTTTGGCCCATATGATCCAAACCTGCGGCTGAGGGTAAACCAAGTCACGCTGGCACGGTGGCGCATGGTGCACAATATATACATAATAAGTTCTGGAAGTGCATTGTCCAAACAAAAATCACTGTATTGATGCGGAGGAGACGAACGATGGGTTGAAGCCATGCTCTTCCCCATCAGCCATCTCCCCATCTTGTTGCACCAAGCTGTGCCGCTGGAGATCGTCGACGCCTCGCTGGCTCGTATATGTAGATCAAATTAGAAAAAGCAAAATGCTGGCGTTTCTGTTTTGTTTTTCTTTTTTCTTCTCTCTCATTCTCGATACAGAAAAGTTGAGAGGTCGTTTTTACCTTCACATAAGGGTTGAAAGCTTCGGGATAGTCACGTGGATATTACTTAGCTAAGACTATTTAAAGGCCTGATGTCCAGTGTGTGACTAGCCGAATCGGAGTGGATGACATAATCAATATTCCTTCCTGAGACACTTATAAGGTACCTAAGTAGCTCCTGTACGTAGTATTCTTAGCACAGTGCAACGTTCACCTACGTTTCCAATTATATATGCTTTTACTCTTTATACCAGCATTTGTATCCTACTTCTACGCATCAATCACAGGGACTAGGTACTCATTCTTCATCATTAATCAAGACCTACTGCATCGCACCAGTGCCAATTTCGTTGCGTTGCAGTCCTTGCTCTTCTGAGTCATTGAGCAGTGGTGTATTGAACATTGAGCATAACGTTGCTATATGTGATCTTAAATTAGGCTATATAAATAAGCAAATTCATCATTTTAAGGTTGTTTATCCTCCGTAAGATCTAAATGTCAAACCCACACTCAGTTCGACCCACACTTCCCTCATATCAAATGGAGAAGACAGGCTTGTTCTCAATCTCAAGTTCTTGTCCCTCCGCTGTACTCGAATAGCGAAAGCATGGACGGGATCAGTGGGATAGAATATCATATCCCATACAATACGACAAGAATGACCTTTTGTATTTTACATTTGTAAAGGTTCATATTAACTCTAACATCTGCCCATGCTGCCATGCATAGGAAACTTTCAAACCTTCGTCTTTTTCCGTCCCAGTTATTTCTCTACCTGTTCTATCGTGACGATAGAGTGTATAGTTGGCCTATAGGCAACTGTGAGCCGGAGATGTCTCATAACTAACCGTATTGTTGGATGCTTACAGGCGGAGTGTCTTGCCAAGAATGAGTTTGATAGCATCTTTAACATTACATAGTTATCATGGTGAGAATATCCCATGTCACGATATCGGCCTAGGCACAAGCCGCATGCGCTATTTTCGGAGCATTTTTCTTTGCAATAATCCCAAAAGCGAAGACGCGTGGATTCAAATTGGAATGGTGTATAGCTTGTAGCGTAGAGCCTACTAGATTCATACGTATAAAGTTGCTACTATTCTAAAAATAGTTTCTCGGGCAGGAGTATCCGGATGGCTTCTGGGTCCTGGATTTGGAGTTAGAAGAATATAGATAGTAATATTAAAGGTTGATTGTATTTTAAGTCGAGAGTAATAACCTTTAATATTATTATATATTTCTATACTAGATAAAATGAAGAATACAGACAATCGATGGTATTACAGATGGCTAAAGTTGCGACGTGGATGTAGTATAGAGTATAGGTTATAGATGGGGTGGGCTGTGTGATTCTTGTATGTGTTATTTGTAATGGGATATCATGGTCTTCTACGTTACCGGGGTGACGCGATTCCATCTGTCAAGAGTGTGACATAACTCTATAAGTTCCTTCGTTTAGGCTACTTACGAAAGACAAAAGCCTGTAGAAGTTATTAGAAATGGAGTTTGTACATAAAAAGGGCCAAAAGGTAAAAAACTGGCCGGTCGGATGCAGCCATATGCCACCAAGTTCGGCGCAAGGTCTACCACATCAGCCCGTTCTTGTGGTGTTCTTCGTGGTAAGGTGAGCAGTCCAACTGGCGAATGTAATTTTCATTAGTTTTGCCATCTGAATACCAGGTATACTAAGGATACTAAAGCCCCCGCTGGTACCTTCGATTTGAGTATATATGTGTAGGCCTTCAGTCGAGGGGGAAATCGGCGGCTTTGTGACCAATCCTACTACCTATTTGGCTTATAGCTTAGGTAGTGCTAACTGTGAATACGTTTATAAGGCGGTTGTTTTGAAGCAGAAGTTAGGTCTTGACACATAGGTACTACTCGTGACGATACTAAGGAAGAAAGTGAGTCGTGTTGCAGATGGGAGACAATTGCGCGTGAAGTCGGAATAGAACGCTTCAAAACTACTCTATGTAGATATAATATGTATCCCCTGGTATGTAGGATTATAATAAAGTGGCCGAGAGTGCCATTGTGGTAGAGGGGGGGGGGGGTGCCATAGTAGCTGGAGCAGCGTTCTTGGTTCCATATCAGCCATGCAAAATTGAATATATCCGTATTTTGTCATACTGTCGTTAGAAGCCCCTCCAACCATTTGAGACGTTTTCTGCTGCTCTTCGTCTTTGATGGGCAAATTTAAGTGTAAAATTTTCGCACTAGTATCACTCGGCAAATCTTTGGAGCTCTGTATCTCGGAGTCTCTTATCGAGAAAACAGCAAGTTTAAGTCGTTGGGCCCTTTGCGCGAGCTCTGGATAATCTCTTTATGTAAGTATACATATATAACAATTAGCCAAATAGAACCTAAAGTTGACATAAAGCTAGTTTATGTTACCTCGCACAAATATGATTATACCTCAACTGACTCGGGGATATTTGGAGATGAGGACGAGATGCTTCCATCTGATCTGCTAGAGTAAGCTACGTTAACCTTGATTTCCTTCGGCTTCAGAGCGAGCCGTTATAGCATCACTTACCTGGCCGGTAGTAACAGTCATGATTCCGGGCAATTGAAGCAAGGCCGACCTCAATCGCATCAGAGCTTCTTCGCCCAACAGAATTGACGTGGTGCAGGCTGCTGAGAAGACGTTCGATTAGTTGACACTGCTGTATCTAATGACGCGGCTGATCTCTTCATATTGTTATATATTTTGGTGAGTAGAGCATATGATTGTATATATGTATCTGCTAGCTCCTCAAGTACAAGGAGATCCGAGATACCAAAGCGGCCGTCAAAAAGGTATCACTTTGGGGTTGATGTTTGATCTTATCTCTTCATGCGTAAGTTCTAACCAACAAATCGTCATGTATACAATATATACACGAGCTTCTATTGGTTAATATATATCCAGTATCAACGAGTCACCTTTCGAGATATTAAAATGCAAACACTTACTAAGCAGTATATTGTACAGAAAGAAGCACGCGCCGTCCTGATGTAAGAATTTGGTCGCTGGGTGGGAAGAGATATTAGAGAGGAATAGTGAGCCAAAGAGGCTCGAGCAGAGCTACGAAACGGAGGATGCTAGAACAGTAACAAGATAAAGATGATGAATATATTGGTTCACTAAGAACTACGCTGTGTGCTTGATCCTACAAGGAACAGTCGCTGTACAGTGGTGTCATCTTGGCCGAAAGTAGTATTTGTTGGATTAGTCATCCATTCAACCCTACGAGGCCCCGACGGTATTTCGCTGGGCGAGGCTGGGCGGATCATCCACCGAGAGCTCGGCTGGCGCGAGATACAGGTATCAGCTTCGTTTCACATGTTTGATGCATGGTACTAGTGTAAATACGTGGCCTGGAGGAAGGGAACCTAAATCCTCTTTCTTCACGATCTAATAAAGACACATGCTAGATCGTGAAGTCTGTGACAAATTCGCTGTCTCGACAAAATATATAAGGGGGAGGACGCTGATGTAGTTACTCTGTGTATACCATCTCAAGCCTGACGGCTGGTCGTCGGCCTGAATGCGGAGACCATATATACGGTATGATGTACAGCAGCCACACACTATTTATAGTAAATGGCACTGCTTAGGGTGGCTTGTAGTTACATGGCGTTTTCCAGCTGGTGACCTTTCGGCTGCCCATCAAAGCCGAAAACAGAGACTTATCAAATTGTCCCCATCTCCCTAAATCCTTCAAGGAGGAAGATGGCCCGCAGTTTAACATTTCGGATCCTTTGACTCTGATTGCTTGTCGTTGCTTGTTTCTCAGGTTCACTGGCTGTCTGATTGGCCTGTCCGGTCTGCGCTGGCTGGTAGGAAAAGCTTGAGGCCGCCCGAGAATCCTTCGTCAATCAAACACCAGCCTCACCAGCTGGGCTATCGCAAGCCTCCCAACGGGGCCACACACACATAGTATTCCACGCCCCTTTTATTCTTTCTTTCCTTTTTGCTGGGCTCCAAGTATTTATATTCATCGCCATGCCTCTCCCTCCTGGGCCACGGTCAAGCTTCTTCGCCAACCCTGCCAAGCCACGAGAGGGCAGCACACCCCCATCCTCAAGATGCAGCTCAAGAACATCTTCCGCCGTAACTATACGGACTCGAACTGGCGGAGGCCGCTCCCCTTCATCGCAGACCCCGTTGCTTCGGAACAAGACCTTCTCGAGGAGAAAAAGCACCATGGGGACCACCAAGCAGCTCACCACGGGGCGTCTCCAGAGGAGCAATCGTTTCCCACCGACAGCCCTACCCTCAAGAAGAACCATGAAGCCACCACCATGGAGCTGTTCTATGATCTCTTCTTCGTCGCCACGCTCGCAATCTTCCATGCTACACACGAGATCAACACTTCCGATAGTATGTCCTAACTGTCCGCTGCTCTGTCTCAGGATTCTGACATTGTCACAGGCGTCAAGTCATACATTGCGTTCATAACCATTCTTTGGTTTTGTTGGTTACAAGCTGCCTTGTTCGATATCAGATTCTACACTGACTCCATATTGGCACGGACCTTTAAGGCTCTCCACCTGGGCATCATGACCGGACTCGCCGTCTTGTCTGTCAACTTCAGTGTCACTAACATCCTTAAACACCCCGGCCGCTTCGCTAGCATGAGCTACCTCCTCATGATATCCCGGTTGATCCTGGTCGCACAGTATATGACCGTAGCTTGGTACTTGAGAGGCCACAAACAGACCTTCACGGCGAAAGTTCTAGTCATTGCTACACTGTTCCTCGCAGCAATGGTGTTCCTCGCTCTAGCCCTGAGCGCGCATTCCTTGCACTCACCAAGGGCACACATCGCCTGGTATATCGTGATTGCCTTTGAGGCAGTATTCATGATCACGATATCTAGTTTTTGGAAAGTACTATCTTTCAAAGGTACTCCAATTGTTGAGAGATTCGGATGCCTTACCTTGATCGTCCTTGGAGAGGGAATAGTTGGAATGACAAAAGCCGTAAGTCTAGATTATTTGCTCCAACTACGATGATCAATACAAAAAGAAAGAGAGAAAAACTAACGGCTATTCTAGATTAAAAGCATTGCTCTTGGCACTTCAACTATATCAGGGACCTCTGTGGCCCTGGTGATCTGCCATGTCTTGATTATATACTTTGTCTATATGCTCTATTTTGACCAGGTCGACGTGAAACGGTTTGGATCTATCCGCCAACAGATCTGGGCTCTATTTCATTACCCACTGCATGTTGCTATTCTAGTTACTAGCGAAGGAAGCCGTTCCTTTGTTCTGTATGACGTTGCCAGGAGGCTCTATGAGAACGCTCTGCTTGGGCCTCTGAGCAGGGTTGATATGGTTAAGACGCCAGCTGACTTAGTAGAAGGCCTGAAAGATATTATTGCCGACATTTCTAGCAAGCTCAAGTCAACTGACGGAATGCCAGACTTTACCTCTATTTACGACAAGCTTTTGGCCGTCAAGGACTTCCAAAAGTCCTCAGAAGAAGTTGGTGAGCTTATGCAAGAGTTCCTAGCAGAGTCGCTTATCTGGATCATGCATACCTTTGGCATCGAGGTTAAAGAAGAAACGGGGGGGAAGGAAGCAAACGCTGAACATGGAGGCAAGGCCGCTATTCATGAGCTTACTCAGATTTACGGGGCAGCAACCATCATTTTCCGTTTCTTTTTCGTTGCTGCTGGGCTAACCCTTGTCCTTCTCGCGATTTTGCACTGGTTCTCCAAGTCCCACAAGAGCCGTGCCGAGATGCTGAGCATCATCACCACTACCACTATCGGCGTATTTCTCTCTCTGCTGGCCGTCATGTCAGACTTTGATAGCGATGTCGATGTTTCTGCGCTTGGCACTTATATTGATAGCGCCTGGGTTACTCCCACTGTTGCTCTCACTTATATCAGCGGTATGTGGCCCCTCAGCTGAGCTTCATACCTACAGGAAACCACTCCTCTCCCCATTTGAAGGGTTTTTAACTAACTAATGGCCCTCTTAGTGATTGCAATTGACAACGTGATTATCTGGGTATCTCATATCCGTAGACGAAGCAGTGAGGCCCGCGTGCATTATGAGCCTGTATCTTAAATAATAGCTTTCTAGTAGATGGCCGATACTTTTCGCAAGGAGGTGCTGCTTGGAGTTGCTTTCTCTTTTATCCCGTATGCCATTTAATGATATACAGAGAATTATCTTAATAGAACTAATTTTTTCCTACATTACATTGTAGGTACCTATGTACATACTATGGGGTAGGTAAGTTTCATGTCACGTGGTATACTCAGGCAAATCATTTATCCGTGGCCGAGCCGAGGTCCGAGAGCACGCGCAAGATAAACATTTTGGGAAGAAAAGAACATCTCCATATAATATATTTGGATCCCTTCCTCTCTCCCTTTGCTCGTCTTTTCTGCTCTTTTTCTTCTTATTCTTATACAGTATACATATAGATACCTTTTTACCGCTGCATTTGTCGTCAGTGCTAAGCACTTTAGAGTGTGTTAACAGCCTTCTTTTTCTCGCCCATGGCATCCAAAGTCCCCGCGGCACCTGTTCCGGCACAACAGGAAGAAAAGGCCGCTTCAAGTACGGTTAACAATACACTTGCGCAAGTCCGGTCTTTTGTGGCAGGCGGTGTGGGTGGTATTTGTGCTGTAGTGGTTGGCCACCCGTTTGATCTGGTCAAAGTACGACTCCAGACTGCGGAGCGAGGTGCGTACACCGGTGCCATCGATGTGGTTAAAAAGACCATAGCCCGAGAGGGTATGGCAAGGGTGAGTACTGTTTTCTATTTGTCTATGTATATACTTGCGATTTTGACTGGGATACTGATGTTGTCCGTCGTAGGGGTTGTACGCTGGTGTCTCTGCTCCGCTCGTTGGAGTTACTCCAATGTGTATGTTCTTTCGACCCCGCCACCCACAAATTCACATGTCAACTAATATTCTGATTATTTTACAGTTGCCGTTAGCTTTTGGGTACGCACCCTCGAACCTTTCTCGTTATGAATTCTAATGGGCGCATACAAATAAAAGGGCTATGACTTGGGGAAAACGCTTGTCCGCAGCCTGTCCGAGGTCCCTGTTCACAACAACACTCCGCAGTTCTCTATTGCTCAGATATCTGCCGCTGGCTTCTTCTCCGCGATTCCTATGACTTTAATCACTGCACCATTTGAAAGAGTGAAGGTGTTGCTTCAAATTCAGGGACAGCATCCACCACCGCCTGGTCAGAAACCGAAATATAGTGGCGGACTTGATGTTGTTCGACAACTATACAAAGAGGGTGGAATCCGCAGTGTCTTCCGCGGGAGCGCCATGACCCTTGCCCGTGACGGCCCCGGATCTGCCGCCTACTTTGCTATGTATGAGTATGTAAAGCGAAACTTAACACCCAAGGACGCGGACGGTAATGTGACAGGAGAGCTATCTCTACCCGCCATTCTGACCGCAGGAGGAGCTGCTGGAATAGCTATGTGGATACCCGTTTTCCCTGTTGATACTATCAAGTCACGGCTGCAGAGTGCGCCCGGAAAACCGACTATTGGAGGTACCATTAGAAGCATCTATGCAAGTGGTGGATATAAAGCTTTTTTCCCAGGCTTCGGCCCTGCTCTTGCAAGAGCAGTCCCTGCTAACGCAGCCACCTTGTAAGATTCACTCTCTGATGCTGATAGCCGTTCTTTGCTTTGTGCTTTGCTAATCTTTCTTTCCCATAGTCTCGGTGTTGAATTAGCTCATAAGGCCATGACTAAGATGTTTGATTAAGTGTATGTTACCTATTCCCGTGGCTTTAACTTCGCACATACCTAAAGAGGCCTTCACCTCCCAGCTTGCCTCGACTCCCATATCCTTGGCAGGGTATGAATGGGAGACCGAACATAAAACCCTTCGGTGCTTTATTTTTTTTGGCGTTCGTCACGTCCATTTACACCTCCCCTGGGAGTTTACATCTCTGCTGCGCCTATTCTTACATAGATTTTGGCATTTTATTGGACATACAATATTTGGCGCGTCATGTTTGCATAATCTCATAGATGGATTGAATTTCGGTTTCGATATTATTAACATTCATACCTACTTTTCCAGCTTTATTCACTTTCTATTGTTACGCGTCCATATTTTGAAATAGGGTCCTTGATATGGACAGCTTACGCCTTGAATCTGCTTCCGCAATAGACACACTCGTCAAACCTGCCGAGAATCTTCCCGAGCAAACCCCTGGCCCCTTCTATACCAAGAGCTGCACTAGTATTATCGAAGCACTCTCTTTCACACCTAGAACATCGCTTCGAAATAGAAGGATCTTGAATTGATAAGAATGTCAACGCACACCGGGCTAATTTCGGAATTATTAGTACTAGGTCTTAAATGAGGAATTAATCAAGCTGTCTAGGAAATGACAACGATAGATGAACGTACCAAATAGATGGCCCTCCGCACACTGTGATTCCATAGGAGAATACCATTCGATTCCACTGTCACAGATATCGCACTTTTCAAACATACTGCTCCCAGCGCCGCCTTTGAGCTGGTTTTTCGTTTTTGGAGATATTGTTCTTGTGCATAATCTATGCGGTTCCCGGAAGAGCTCGTCCAGTAAAGACATTTCTAGACTCAAATCTACGCTGGGCTCATCAGCCAAAGCCTGCATCACTTCTTGCGCCTGAGCCACAAGCCTGGGGTCAGAATTATAATAGACTATTACGGAGCAAGCAGCCGCATAAAGAAGTTTTTGTGCCCATGGATCTTTCATTAACTGGGCAGGTCGATGTTTTAACGTAAACTGTATCACTTTGCAGGCAGATTCTTGTATGCTACCGGGGGTGGTAGCTGGCATATGCCACGGCATACCGGGTTCAGTATGATCAAATCTGTCCGGGCCAGGAGGGGCAAAAAATAATGTCATTCGTTCTTGAGAAGAAGTGGTATGCTGTACCATGTCAGTAGGATGAAAGGTTGCACAAGTGGCAATCCATCCGCGATAGCTGCATAAACCCCAAGACTTCGCTGTTGACATGCCACTGAGGTCGTAATCTAGGTCGAAGCGATCTCTGAAGCTTTCAACCTCTTTTTTCAAGTATAGGCTTTGTGAATATTCCTCGTCGTCTGTTGGTTGCTGTATTTGTGTTTCCATGGTCGGAAATCCCAAAAGGTGCAAGGAGGATAAAGTCGTAGTATAAAGCAAACTGCCGTCAGTCGTCCCATCCTTTCTTGAAGCAAAACCTAGAGCAAGGTTGGTTAGAAACTTGAATGGAAAAGGATACACAGTATCAACATTACCTGAAATCGGGTGCCAATTGGCGAAAGAAGCATCAAACTTCTCTTTGTGGACTTTTGCCTCTATCACAGCTTGCGCCCAGGTATCCTTGGGAATCGTTATAACAATAAATCCATTCATTATTCCAGCAGCTAACCAGAGGATATTGTCGTCCCCCTACGTCACTATGGGTCAGCGGCACGGTTAACACTCGGATTCTAGGGGTATATAACGTACTGCCGTTTCCAACCAGTGCAAAGGACCCTTTAGACCAAGGGTGGCCATCGAGTATTGAAGTGATAGCTCTTTGTTATATAACTCAAACCTTTGGATCATGGGCTCGTCGTGTGTGGCAGTAATCTCTGTCTCCAGATGTAATATCTCTAACTTCGACCCATACGTGAAGGCGATTAAAACCTTCCAAATCTGAGGAACGGATGCTGAGAAAGCCTCTAACTCTAGCTTCTTTATCCAGGCACTAGATGAGATAGTAGTAATAGTAGCCCTGCTTGCGGACAACTCAGCAAATAGAGAACTTTGCTCCGCCAGCTGAAAAAGCTGGACACGTTGTGGCAAAAGAGAATAATGAGAGAGAACCGTAGCAATTGCACTTTGTCCGTACGAAGGTGCAGTAACTCTGAGAACGACTATATCGTTTGTATCATTGCTGACAATGAGAAAATGTATTCCGCCACCATGACGAGAACCCTTATCATCGACCTCTTCTTGTGTAGCTTGTAGCGAGAGGTAGCTCCAGGAGAACGCTCTGATTCTTTGTTTTCGCCTTAACATGGAACTGTCATCGCGCACGATGGTCTTGAAATACTTCCGGAGTGCATGGTTAACGATTAGCGTTCGATTCCACCTGGAAGCACCATCCACGGCATGCCAGAGCGATAGGGTGAGATTGCTGGTCAGCACCGCTAGCATGCATTTTCCATACACTGCCAAACGCGGAGAAGACCATGCGACGGAGACAGCATGGCTGGCGGACTGCTCCTCGCCCATGGAAAACGTGGTACCAGGCTCTGGGAGTAGGAGAGGCAGCTCATTCAGTGTGAAAGCATTGGTCTTAAGTTTGGATATATCCCACTGTGACCCCGTCGGCCGCTGGGCAGCCTGATCCTGTTGCTTCTCCTCTTTACTTGGCTTTGGAGACTGTTTGTTATAGCTGTTAGCCTCGATGTTACCGATTCTGTAACTACGCGGGCGAAGATTCCAACAAACCAGCACATAAACGATCTCTCCTGCTGCAACGGCAACTTCACCGTCTGCGGACCACGACAGGCAGTTGGAACAGGACGGATACGAGCGAAGCTCAAGAGGCTCTAACATAATCGTGCTGAGTGCCTTGACTTTTGAAGTGAGGCGTGGATTGTACTCCGCACTTGATAGTCAATTATTTAATCAGTTAGCTCGTTACCTATCAACGCCTAGGTATAGAAGGTGTAGGTTAGCGGAGGTTATAACTTGCCCACCATATAACCTGGTTATATGGCCGCTTGGCGAGCAGCAAGTTATGCCTCAGGTTAATTTTAGTACAAGCAAGCTCATCCAATCAATCAACGTACATGTAATCATTATATAAGGCCTGGCCTACTTAGTTTTATCGAGCTCTTCTTGTATATGCTCCCTGCCCATCTATTATTATACCACTAGTTATATGGGGGGGGTAAAACGTTACTATGGGGGTTATACTGTTAAATATCTAGTATAATAAAATTTGCCTCGATAACTCAGCCGGACATACGTTGTTCCGGCCGGGTTTACCCCTTTTCATACATATGCAGCTAGCAGATTCTACACATACACACAGATACTTGATATATTTGATATAGGACTTCACGACTTCATCCCTGGATCCTGCACGTCACGGACGTACATCATCTTCCACTATCTCACTCACGCTCACGCAACTGGGTTTACACGTATTCCACCACATTATTTGCTTTATCTAGGTGGTTATAGCTTTATATTATAGTTAAGCAGGCGGTTTCTCGTTCAGATGGCGGGGCCGGTTATATCTCTTCAAGACGAAATTCAACATTATGCACATCTATAATGAGCTACTTGGACGACGGTGCTTTGAACCCTTGTCGACCAACATCGTCTTTCTCCAGAGAGTACTCTCTAGTCATCACAGAGAGTATCGCTCCCAAAGCCGAAAAGGCAGTCAATACCACCCAGATAGTCTGGAAAGCATCCTTATACGCACCCGTCACGACATGCATGATATCCTCTGACACGTGAACCTCCCTTAGTCGTGGGATGAATCCCACAGCTTGGCTTGCATCTTCCAGTGCTGCAAGTTGTTCAGGTAGGTTACCTTTGAACGAGGAGAGACCTTTTGCGAACATCGAGTTGAAGATGGTCGAACAGATAGCTAAGCCTAGTAGGGAGCCTATGAAACGCGTAGTGACAAGCATCCCAGAGGCAAGCCCGTGGTCATCGACCCTCCTAACGCTCGCCAGGACTGATATCTGGGTTGAGACTAGAACCGTGCCAAGACCAACACCGAGGAGGGCTTGGAAGGCATAAGTGCGAGCTCTACCGCTATCAGGGCCAATAGTGTAGCTTAGGCCCAGGAATATCGTTATAACAATCCAGCCTACCCACACCGCGATGCGGTACTTTCGACTCCAATCTATTAGCATCGACACGATGACGCTTGTTGCCACGACTAGACAGCAGAGCGGTAGAGTCGACTTGGCGGCTTCAATAGGAGTTTCGAGATATACCGCCTGAAAGAAAAGCGGAAGATAAAGGACTATAGGGTTCAATAATGAGCCGTATATTGTTCCAGTCACAGTCCCTGTGATTATAGAGATGTTGTCGAAGATCTGATATGGAATCATGGGTACTTCCGCCCTCTTCTCAATAAACCCAAGCGGGATGATGAGTAATACTCCAATAATGAGAGGAACAAGAGTCTGCCAAGATGCCCAAGCATACGGCATATTAGCCCAGCTTAACGGCAGTGATATAGCAGTACCAATGACTGCGAAAAGAGCAAATCCAGCCCAGTCAAGCTTTCTCATCTTGTCTTTAATGTCACCCTCGATAGGCATCAAGTGAAGAAAGAAGAATGCCAGCACACCAGCGATGCTTACTGTCATCAGATTGACCCAGCCAAGCCATTGCCATCCAACCTTCTCGGCAAACACGCCTCCAATAAACGGCCCGGTGACAGCTCCCACCGCATTGGCCAGGGACAGGACTCCTAGCCATCGCGGCCGCTCCTTCAGGGTTGTGATATCGCAAAGGATGATAGTTTGTAATACGTCTAGCCCGCCAGCACCAAGACCTTTGATCAGCCGGCCAGCGACAATAATGTTCATATCTGTTGCGGTAGCAAAGACAATAGATCCGATGCCGAAGAGGACGATGGAGGCGTAGAGAACATGTTTGCGGCCCACCACGTCCGAGATACTGGCATAGATAGGCTGAGTGACGGCAATCCCGAGGGTGAAGGCTAAGCTAGCCCAAAATGATTGGAAGTTTGTTCCATGTAGCTGGCCGGCGATGACCTATTCATAGTCAGGTGTCGCCGTCAACAGTTAAATGCTGCAATGCTTACTCAGACTCACAGGTAAAGCCAAAGATAGAGCTGTGACATCCCAAGCCACAATCAGAGAGATCGAAGCCAGCATAAGTATTGACAAGTAGAAGGAATAATGTTTCCCCTGTGGCTTTGTGACACCGTCTTCCCGTATCTCATTGGAACCCGGCTCCGTCTGCGACGCAGCACGGTCATCGCGGCTCTCAACCTTTTCCATCTAGCAGGCAGTGTCGCAAAAGTCAAAAACTGTGTGGTTCGGAAGCAAAGTTCGAAGGTTCTTTCGAAAGTTCCTCGAGGGGACGTCCCGCTACTTCAATCTTTCTGGAAACTTGGTTGCCTGTTCTCCTTGATCAGCCTCGCGTTCTGACTGATATGTAAAGATCTTACTAATATTAAAAATGCGTCCGTACAGTAAGACATAATAAGCATAATTTCGACACGGTAAACCGCCAGACCGTTCAGACACTCAGCATGCTGGCCTTACTCATGAAGTCAGAAGCATGTCCACTTCACAATGCCCTTCTGCAACAGTATGCGTGCTCGAGGCTCGAAAACTCGCCATTAAGTACTTAGCATGAGCTTTGCCATCTACAAATCCAGACACTGCCCAGAGACTCTCATGTGCCCAAGAACGGCCGATGGTACAGGTCAAGCATTAGCCATTCCCGCCAGTAAACAGTTACCTCCGCTTGAGAAATTCAGACCATTATGAACGGTCACGCCAAGGGGAAGGATAGGCCTCCGCATAAACTTGGCCAAGACGACCTGACCATGGGTGCGAAGGGGGTCAATGGCATCTACACCAATGCAATGGACACATTGACAGCATCGACACGACTCCAAAACCATCGCCGCCCTTCCAGCCTGTGGCATGGCATGTCGACTGCCAGGGGGCATCCATCCACCCCCCCTCGGAGCTGTGGGCCTTTCTCCACGCGGGCCGGTCCCACCCTCCCGCTACAACATCTCCGCCTTCCATTCGCCGGACAAGAAGCCAGGCAGCGTCATTTCTCGGCGGGGATACTTTCTCGACTCCACCAATGACCTGGCCGCGCTCGACACGTCCTTCTTCTCCATGCCTCGCGGCGAAGTTGAGACACTTGATCCCCAGCAGCGCATGCTTCTCGAGGTCACCAGCGAGGCCACTCCAGCGGCGAGATTGCTGCCGCATACGCCGCTGGTGGCCTCAGCGCCCGCGACGCTATCATTGTGTCTTTCCCGCGTGGGCTAGCAGTAACCAAGCATCGCAGTCGCAAGGGCGCTATGGCAGCTTTGGGCATGAGTTGGGAGGCTGCCAGGAAGCATCTCGTCCCCGGCGTGGTGCTCGCCTGTGACAACGCGCCAAACAGCGTAACCATATCGGGAGATGCAGGTCCGTTGATAGAGACGGTCGACCGCATCAAGAAGTCGGTACCTGGAGTTCTAGCCACCATACTCAAAGTTGATAAAGCGTATCACTCGCCACATATGGAAGAAATTGGGGCTGAATACCACGCGGCCATGACCAACGCCGGCGTTGTGGGCAAGGTGCACACTGTTCCATTCTTCTAAGCGTTGAAGGAGAGTTGCTCGTCCCCGCCGCGAGCAGTAGATTTGGACCCATATACCGGCAGACCAACTTGGAGCGCCCTGTGTTGTTCACATCGGCAGTAAGCTCCGCCATTAAACAGCACGCTGGCCCCTCCACGCCGATTTTCCTTGAAGTTGGCCCCCATGCCGCCTTGGCCGGACCCCTTCGTCAAATTATCACCCATAAATCCAGCAGCGCATGATACATTTCGACTTTGACCCGACGAAATAACAGTGCCGAAAACTGGCTGTCAGCTCTTGGGCAACTCTTTGTCCAGCATGTGCCCTTCAATCTTCAGGATTTGATGCCGGCTGGCAACGCCCTCTCAGGTCTGCCCTCTTACTCCTGGGACCATCATCGTAGTCACTGGAGCGAATCCCGCATCGCTCGTGAGTGGCGCATGCGTAAATACCCACACCATGATCTTTTGGGTGCAAAGGTCCCTGACACGACAGACCTTGAGCCGGTGTGGCGGAACTTGCTGCACATTGAGAATGCTCCATGGATACGTGACCATAAGATCAACGCAGATATCATCTTCCCCTTCGCCGGGTACGTCGCCATGGCGGCGGAGGCTATCCGTCAGATCACCGGTATCGAAGAAGCGGTTGAGCTTCGAAATGTTGTCGTGCCCACCGCCTTGGTTCTCAACGAAAACTCTCCCAAAGAGCTTGTGACCTCTTTTCATCGCCTCCGTCTAACAGATTCACTGGACAGTGACTGGTGGGAGTTCAGCATCGCATCACACAACGGACGCATCTGGATAAAACACTGCTCCGGCGAGATTCTTGCTCGGGAAGAAAAAAATGCTATGCGTAATGGCGCTATGCAGGAAGACCTACTGCGTAAAGTTTCCAGTAAAAGTTGGTACAATACGATGCGCCGTGAGAGCATTGACTATGGCCACCATTTTACGAGTCTCGAACGCGTCACGACGGCGACGACCGGCGCACGAGTTGCTCACGCCCAAGTCCGCAACAATTGGCATGGAGATGAGCAATTCTACCACCTTCATCCTGTCATATTCGATTCATACCTCCAACTCCTCAGTATTGCGGCTCGGTACGGACTCACGCGTGACTACCGTCAAGTCCTTCCCGCCAGCGTGGGCTCGTTGATCCTTCGCCGCAGTGCTGTTAACAATCTTGTGGTATCAGCGATAGCTGAACCCGTCGGCAGCGGGGTCTGTGGAACAGGTACAGTTGCAGCTGGGGACAGACTCATCATCGAGGTCTTACATCTTTTACAAGTGGTGATAGTGATATAGAAAAAAGTGTGCCCATTACCGCACGGAGTGAGTGGGTACCACATATTGAGACTGAAGCTTTCAGCACTCTTGTAAAGCCGACTATGCCGGCAGCGATGATACAGCATATGCCATTCGACCAAAAGATCATACACAGTGATGACGCTCGTCATCTCTGGTCGCTGCACTACTTATATGCTTTGATGTTGGAATGCCATGTGATGTGGGCTTGGTGGGCGCATGCTGCGTGGCATGACAGTTTTTGAGCGATAACTACCTTTAATCAACTTGACGGCGTCGAAGTACAACCGGGCGCCCTACATGTCTTGTATATGTATACTGGGCTAGAGGAGTGAGACCCGTAGAGAAGTGGCCAGATATAATGTAATATTATAGGATAAATCGAATCAGGAGGCTAAGTCAGGTAACAAGCCCTAGGAGCTTTCCAGCAATGGGGTCCCATGTCCCATCCCAGCGATGTTTGCTTTCTCGGATAGCTCCCTCCCGTAGAAGTTTTAGGTCACTTCCGTCCCCGCTGAGTAACCTCTTGAGGAGCTCGACCAACCTCTCAGCACTATCAAATCCCATTCCAGTGACACCCTCGGTGACAAGTTCGGGCCAGGCTTCATACCGATCCCAGCCAATAACGGGGAGTCCAGCACCAAACATATCAACAACCTTCATTGGTAGGTCGACACCGCTGCTACTGGTATGTAAGCAGACTCCCAATGAGGCACAGGCAAGCAATCGAGCGTAATTTTCGAATGTAAGCCAAGCAGCTTTTATGGACACATTGAAGAGTTTCCCCTCTGCTTCTAACTGAGCAATTTGGGAGAGATACATTCCCTTTTGGGGACCTTTTCCTGTTATGATAACGAGGAGAGATGGAAGGCTCAGGTTCGACGATCTTGCCAGGGTAGAATACTGACAGAGAGCATCAAGTAGGATGGAAAAGTCCTCATCCGGCGTCCAAGAAGTTGAACTGACTAGAAGCCCGCATCGACCATAGATGATGTCTTCAGCAGCTGTGCTGGTTTCAGGCAAAGAAGACAAAGCCGCAAGACGCTCTTTCTCCCCAAGAATAGGGTGGAATACAGCTGGAGGCCGATCATGGAGCACCAAAGGGGGATTCGTAATTTTCACTTGCTCACATAATACCCGCGCCATCGCGTTGCTGACGCAAAAGTGGGCGGTAGCAAAATGGGAGAACGAGTGTTCATGCCATGCCATTAGCCTGACCATGGGATGGGCAGTTCCAAGCTTCAACGCAAGGATGGAATATCCGAAATTATGCCAATCTATAATAAGACGGGTATTCCGGAGACGACAGACTAGCTGTGCGACTGCGATAGTTGGCACTGCAGGTGGGTTCTGCCGGTGTTTTAACAATATAGATGGACCAGTTCTTAGTAGGTTGATTCTACGGAACAAGACTAGGCCTTGTCCGACTGACGGTGGCGAAGATATACACATGAAGCAGTGGCAACCGGACAGCATGCCTGACAGCGGAGATGCTTACCTGTACTAACATCCATTTTGCAGGCTCTGTATGATAAGCGAGTGCTGCCCACAGGTGCCATGTTTGTTGCAGAGCCTTTACGACGGCAGCAACAGGAAAGAGAAGCTTGTTTGTGACCTGTAGAAACGCTGGGGGGGATGGCAATGCCACGATTGATATACGAGGATGCTCCAGGAGCTCCTGGCTGGGGGTGGAATCTGCAAAAGACTCAGCATGTTGGCAAATTTGGTCACTCTCTTATAGAACAACTGAATCGAGCATACTGAGGTAACCTATAAGAAAGACACGGCCACCATGTCGTGCGATGCTAAGTGCATGGCATTGCATCCGTGGGCTATGTCCGATATCCCCTAGAACCACGATCTGAACTGACACTGCATCGGGAGACTTGGGCGATTGGCTGACCTCTCCATTTTGCGAGGGCAACAGCTGAAGCACAACCGCTGAGGAGATAATAATGACAAGAATGCAGAGTACCAGTATCAAAAGCATCGTCTTTTAACCAGAGAAGCCCAAAGATTCTCTCCGGTTATATCTAGCTTCCTAATTAATCCTTATCAACATGAACATTTTCTGTTTTTCAAGCCATATCCATAATTACTAAGCGTATCCAAATCCGCATTAATAATATTCCGGAAAGAGAGCTAGCTTCTTAGGGTAAGGCGTGAGGCGGGTAGATAAGCTTCATTTGCTGACATAAGCTGCCGATAAACCCATACGAGCGACGACCGAAAAAACCCCTGAGAAGGTTGTAGTGGCCACTTCGCCCTATAATCGACAAGCGAGTGAGACGACGACGACGACGACGACGAGGGGATCTGACTTGCTGTTAGTTGTCTACTGCTATACCATGGTGTCTAAGATTTGGGAGATTATTGAACTAACCAACTGCCTACCAGCCCCAACTTGTAATACCTTATTTGGCCCCATCGGATCTGCGAGCCGCCAGCGAGCGAGACATTTTGACCAACTTCCCCTTCTCCTGACTATTATCTATTTCATTGAGCTATTCCATCGCATTGCGTGTGGCGATGGACTAGGTACCTCGACCGGACAAGCTTATGGGATAATGGGGGATGTCGGCTGCCGCACCAATTTCACCTGCCATGAATGGCGTCCGTGGTGGGAGGTCTCATCGCGGACGGGGCCATAAGAGAAATCATGGCCACTCGATCAACGACAATTCTCAGCAGGTCTCGCCGTACATAGGAGCCTCAATGCCATCGCAGAACGTACAGGCACCACTCTATCTCTCAAATTCCGCCAAAGAAGACCCCCCTGCTCAATACACCGAGAAACAGGGTCTTGGCTCGATGAACATACCAAATGGAGGAGTTACTTCGGGCGAATATCACTATCAGAGGCCCTCTGCATCGCAGGATGGCTTCTCTCTTGGTTCTATAACTGATGGGCAGCTACATGCGCAGTTATCTTCCGGGCAACATGAACATTCTCACACCAGGTATGTTTTGTTCAACCCATATTTCTAAATATTCATTTTTGTTAAAACAGGCCTAACTGATTATAATATTAGCTTCGAAGGATTGGGGTGGTCCATGATCTCAGGTGTACTCACAGCACTGCCATTCGTGGCTTCGTACTTTCTTACTTCTATTAGTGCTGGTCGAGCAAACGCACGGGCTAAGAGTACCGAGAAGTTATATTCTCATAGGCTAGCACTAAGCCCTTTACTTGTTTCCTGTGCCTATGTAGCAGTGGCCCTGCTACTGCAAGGCATATATGAGAAGTTACGGCCTGGACGTAGGAAGGCTACTCCTGCCCAAGCGAACGGTTCAAATCTCTATGATGGCTTACGAATGGCGTTATGGATGAGCTTGCTGTTCTACGCTTCTTTCATGGTTGGATTTGATGTCGTGGTCGCTGTGTTACTTCTTCGCCTTTCGGCTGATGTGCCAGCTGGCTCTAGATCTAACAATATGTTGGCAACGATAACTCACATCTTTAAGCAGAGGAAGATCTCGACCCTGTTTATTATTGCAATGGCAGCCTTGGATACTGTTTATCTATCCTCTTCGGACCCCATTACACCATGTAAGGGGTATTTCGCTCTTATCCTTACTTGGGTGATTTCAGCATCCACTCCTCTATCGACGTCTGTCAATGCTACTGTGGATGAAAAGTTTGCTTCTGGGAAGAATAACATTGACGACGCGGCCACGGTGAACCTTGTCATTGGGATGATCCTTGGAGCACTAGTCATGTTGATTGCTTTTTTAACAGACAGTTTCTCTCCCATGCCTTTATCGTCACTTTCTATCCTCCTCGTTGGTCTATGCATAGCATTATCTCGGCTAATAACTGGAGCTCACGCTGATGGGAGACCCAATCTACCTAGCCTTATATCTGGTGCTAGTGCTGTGATTTTAGCTACATTGGCAGTGTCCCACACCCATAATGTACCCTTACAAGCAATTCGCTTTGGTCTTGCTGGGTTATCATCCTTTGCTGACGGTAAAATGGCGCAAGGACATAGCCACTCACATGAAAAAGCAGAAAAGAAACCTTCAAGAATAACCTTATGGCTTCTACGGACGTGTGAACATTGGCCCTTCCTACATGCAATTTTAAAAGAGAGAGATTCGCGCCGGATTTTTTACTTTATGAAGTCAGTTTTTCAATCTGGTGATAGTGTGTAATCCTGCTGACATGAGCCTATAGTCTTAATCTGGTATTTATGATGGTCCAGCTTACATATGGCATCGTCACTGGCTCCTTGGGATTATTGAGCGATAGTATCCATATGTTGTTTGACTGCTTTGCCCTTGCTGTTGGTCTGGCCGCTGCTGTTATGAGCAAGTGGCCTCCCAGCTCCCGCTTCCCCTATGGATACGGGAAAATCGACACGCTTGCTGGGTTTGGGAATGGGGTATTTTTGATGTAAGCTCGGGTTGAGAAGTCCCTTCTACATAACCTGTCAAAAACTGACAATTGTACAGGATTATAAGTATTGAAATTGTATACGAGGCTGTCGAGAGGCTGATGTCTGGCAGTGAAGTGCATAGAATTGGCGACCTTTTTATCGTCAGCTCGCTTGGTCTCGTTGTCAACCTGGTTGGGATATTTGCATTTGACCATGCACATCATGGTCATGGTCATGGTGGCCACGATCATGACCATGGACATGGGAACGAAAACATGCACGGCATATTTTTGCATATTCTTGCTGATGCCCTCGGATCGGTAGCAGTGGTTTCCTCAACAATACTTGTGCACTTTTTCGGCTGGTCCGGATTTGACCCGATCGCTTCATGCCTCATCGCTATTCTAATCTTTGCGTCAGCTATCCCACTTGTTATCAGCACATCGAAAACTTTACTTCTTGCGCTGCCAGCAGATGTTGAGTACAGTCTTCGCGACACACTTGCTAGTGTTAGTGTTATGCGAGGGGTGGTTGGGTATACGGTCCCAAAGTTTTGGCTGGACGATACTGTTCACGACCATAACCATAAACATCATGATCATAGTCACGGCCACACTCATCGCAGTCATCACGGCCATAACCATGACCATTGGCATGATCATGGAGGGAGCCATAACTTATCAAACCACAGCTGTAACTCCCATTCCCACTCTGAAACTCATTCCCACAGCCATGGCCACGCGCATAGCCATTCGGAGCACGAGCAGAGTAGCCACAGGCGTGTTCTCGGCGTCATACATATAATCGCCTCAAAAAATTCGGATTTGTCGGATGTCCATGCTCGTGTGGCCTCTTACCTGAGTGAGAGAGGAATGAATGTTCTAGTTCAAGTTGAAAGAGAAGGGGACATCAAATGCTGGTGTGGTGGAGGCAACAGGACTGCCTCGTGAAAAGCAGGCAAACCTCCTCTGAGCCGGTTCCTCGTTTTTCAGCTTCAGTTAGTCTGCTATATCGATATGGATGTACACTAAACAATTTGTAGTTACATATGTTATTTTGCGAGGCGTTATCTGTAGACTTAAACAGTAGCCATGTGAGAGGTAACTAGCCGTGCATTTTTTGGATGGGTGCTTGAGACTAAAGTATGCATTTTAATGGAATCGACGCCCTTTTGCATCGACTGTCATTCATTTTCAACCTGTGGTTGTCAGGAGGGGCTAGGACTTCTATGTGGATAGCGCGTCTAGGTAGGTAGGAAGTTGACAATAAGGGTATATATTGAGGGATAAAAAGTATATAACATAAAAAGCACTCAACGCCATAACCCCAACGCTGTGCATAGCGAACAAAAGAGAAAAAAAGGAACGAACATAGAGAGCTTGTACGGAGGGGAATCTTTCATATGAATGGTTGGTGTATGGTAGGGGAGATGTAAGGGGAATGTTGTATAGTGAAGGATCTAACAAGTGAAAAGACAGGAATGACAGGCAAGACGGGTCTTCGGTTGGTAGGCAGAGTTGCATGGGCTCAAGGAAGCTGGGGAGCTAGTCCTCCCAGCTCTTCTCGACAGTCTCACGAACACGTTTGGTGTACTCCCGACGGTTGTCCTTGTAGAGGTTAGAAGCCTCAACATTGGCAGGAGATGATGTGTTGGGATCGTTTAATAAGCTATTGGCAGGACATAAAGGTGAGTGGTCACGAACTATGGAGCATGGTTATAAGCAAGGGAAGGGATGGGGTCAGTACCTCTGAATGCTGGTTAGGATGGCGGCAACATCGTAGGTTGGGCTCCAGCGATTCTGCAGGATGTCCAGGCACAACTCTCCGGTGCCATATACATTCGGATGAAACATCTGGCTGACGAACTTGACGCCCGGGGGTTTGTTCGGGTATTGCTCCTCAAAATGCATCACTAGGCGGAACGTCCCATCCTCAAACGGAGTGTCGGCGGGTCCAATGATGACGGCATTCCTGAATATAGCCATTAGCTTACTCCTATCTGGATAGACACCATAGTAACCATAAACCATACCAGGTCATGACATTATCGGCAATGGGGGAAGCGGACACGCCAGCGGGAGGGTCAGTCTGCATCCGCTGTAAGGAGCAAAGACAAAAATGAGGTCAGCATCAAGACCAGCAGCAGAGGAAAAGCTCATCCAGGCTCAAGCATGAGCTTACCTTGAAGTCCCTCATCAGGCGGCGACGGGCGGAGGTAGACATGGCGAGGAGAAAGATCGAGACAGTAGAGAAAATGACTCTGGCGGTTATCCAAGTCGTGACGGCGGTAACTTGTTCTCCCTCGTGGGCAAGGAGGATAAGAGGCCAAACGTTACAGGAGAAAACGTTTCGAAGGTAGAAGCGAGTCGGGAAGCCTGAAGGTTGAAGATGGGCTTTTTTTTGCTCTGTTTTCTTAAATTCCCATTCAACTGTCCACGCGAGCTTCTTCTTCTTCTTCTTCTGTTCGTTTCTTCTTTGTGCTTGTTGAGGAGTTTCGAAAAGATGACTAATGATGGCCACGCTGACTAATTCCGGATTTACTCTTTATCCAGGAGCGAACATATCATGTGATGCCGAGTCATCTTCGGAAGGCGGAACCGAGAGCCGAGGAAATATTCACGTGGTTAGCGGGTAGTTTCGGCTTTTGGAGCTTAGACCAAACGGGAAATAAAACTCCCGAGTTTCTCCCGGCGGGCAACAAAGACGAAAAGGACGAGAAGTCGAGGGTTCGGTTTACACGCTTGCATCGTCGTCGTCGTCGTCTGTCTTTCCTTACTCAATATACACAGCTGAAATCGAGATTTACGGAGCTACAGCCCTTCTGATATTCTCGTCCGCCAACTTCAGCATGCAGCGTACTTCCAGACTGGCCGACATTGCCGGCCGCGGTTCGGCACAGAGACTCGGACAGGTCAAGAGGCATTTCAGCACATCCAACGCTCTTCGAAAAGCAATCCAGGATGCATATATCCTCGGGGCTGCAAGGACACCAACAGCCAAGGTGAGCCGATTGACATGCGAGGCTGTCTGTACCTGTGCTAAACAGTTTACCTGCTACTAGTTTAATGGTCCCTTCACCACAGTCCCAGCGCCGAAGCTTGGTGCGGAGGCAATAAAGGCGGCCATCAGCAAATCCAAGGTCCCCGTCGAGAAGATCACTGATGTCTACATGGGCAACGTCCTCCAGGGGTCGGTTGGACAGGCTCCTGCGAGACAGGCGTCCATCTTCGCCGGACTCCCCACCACTGTTGAAGCCGTCACCATCAACAAGGTCTGCGCCTCAGGTATGAAGGCCGTCGTGATGGCCGCACAGAACATCCAGCTCGGTCTCGCCGAGGCCCAGGTCGCTGGTGGCATGGAGAACATGTCTCGCGTTCCTTACTACCTCCCCCGCGCGAGCCAACAGGCTCCGTTTGGAGACATGAAATTGGAGGATGGCCTAGTCAAGGACGGCCTCTGGGATGTCTACAACCAGTTTCACATGGGCGTCTGTGCCGAGAACACGGCCAAGAAGCATGGCATCACCAGGGAGCAGCAGGATGCCTATGCCATTCAGTCCTACGAACGTGCCCAAGCAGCCTGGAAGGAGAACAAGTTCGACGACGAAATCACCCCAGTCACCGTCAAGTCCAGAAAGGGCGAGGTTGTCATCTCCAGGGACGAAGGGTTCGAGGATCTCCGTGCGGATAAGATCCGCAACTTGAAGCCTGCCTTTGTCCGCGACGGCACCGGCACAATTACCGCCGGAAATGCCTCTACCTTCAACGACGGCGCCTCTGCCCTCGTCATCACAAATGAAGCCCTCGCCCGTGAGTACGGGTCTGGGAACCGTGTCCTAGCCCGTATCGTCTCCCATGCTGATGCCGCCATTGATCCTGTCGACTTCCCCGTAGCCCCAGCAAAGGCAGTGCCTATTGCCCTGGAGCGAGCCGGGCTTACCAAGGACCAGATCTCCGTCTGGGAGTTCAACGAGGCCTTTGCTGCTGTTATCAAGGCTAACGAGAAGGTATGTCACTTTTATTCTTTCCCCTCGTTTCTCCTCTCAGTCAGGATGCTAACTTCTTCACCCATGTAGATCCTCGGCCTCGAGAACGCCTGCGTGAACCCTGTTGGAGGTGCCATTTCTATCGGCCACGCCCTTGGAAGCTCCGGTTCCCGTATCCTGACCACTCTCCTTCACCAACTTCAACCTGGCCAGTATGGCCTGGCGGCTATCTGCAACGGAGGCGGTGCCGCCACAGCCATCGTCGTCCAGAGACTAGAGAAGGTCGAGTAAGAACTGGAGAGGGTGATATAATCTATCTATTTTCCCATCTACCCGTGATACCGTCATGTTACCTAGAAGCGAGTGTATAAAATTTTCATTGTTTTTTTTTTCGAATCAACCGGAACTGTAACAGTAATCCATTGTTTGTAACCGTGATTTGACTCAGGGGTAAACCTAGCTTATCAGAACCTCCAACGTGTATATCTATGTATGTATACATACTCGATAGTGTTAATGAAGAGCGCGAAGTGTTGAAGTTGAAGATTTGCGCGCTTGTTGGCGATAAACTCACGTGGGTCCTTCTGCCAACCTCCTTAAAGCCCGTGAAAATAAATAAATATTTTATTACCAGTTCTTCGGTCAGCAAAAAAGAAAAATTAACAACTGCTGTTGCATTGTAAGGCGTTCATACCGATCATATCTAATTATATCTTTTACTTTCCCCCGTCTGTGGACAAATTATACCGTTTGACTTGCTGTCTTGCAGGCTCTCCCCTCTCGTTATCCCAGGTCGCCGAGGACGTCTCCTCAAAGAAGCGACACCATGGCGTGAGTAAACCGCACTACATATCTAGCCCCGAGAAGAGCAAAAGAGTGGAGGAGAGAAAGGCATGCTGACAGAATGTTTTCTTGCTATAAATAGTTCCGGCGCCTCTGGAGGTTTTAACACGATCAAGGGTATGTGGGCCACTGTCCCTCAGGGAGCTTGCACAGGCTGACTTTTGCGCCGTTTGCTTGCCATAGTCGTTGCTCGGTTTCGGCCACAGAATAAGGTAGAAATCGCGAACGGTGGTGAACCGATTGTGGATTTTGAATCTGAAGAAACATGCAGAATAAACGTATGCTCTTCCTATTTCTGTGTTGGCGGTGTAACTTGAAGATAAACAGATGGGCATGGCGAGTGCTTGTAAGTGCTAACTGTGGCTACGGGTATGGGTAAATAGTCAAAAGAGGCTTCAAGCACCTTTACCTTCGACCGGATATTTGACATGAGCTCCAAACAGTCGAATGTGTTTGACTTCTCTATCCGATCAACCGTCGACGATATTATGAATGGCTACAACGGGACCGTGTTTGCGTACGGCCAGACTGGTGCTGGAAAGTCCTACACAATGATGGGATCTGATATTGATGATCCAGACGGGAAGGGAATCATACCTCGGATTGTGGAGCAGATATTCACCAGCATCCTGACCAGCCCCGGCAACATCGAATACACAGTGCGGGTCAGCTACATGGAAATTTACATGGAGCGGATAAGAGATTTGTTGGTGCCGCAAAATGATAACCTCCCCGTCCATGAGGAAAAGTCAAGGGGTGTGTATGTCAAAGGCTTGCTGGAAATATACGTGTCGAGTGTGCAGGAAGTATTCGAGGTAATGAGACGCGGTGATACGTCGAGAGCGGTAGCAGCGACAAATATGAACCAGGAATCCTCTCGTTCGCACTCGATATTCGTAATCACCATTACACAGAAAAACGTCGAGACCGGATCTGCCAAAAGTGGCCAGCTCTTCCTCGTCGATCTTGCGGGTAGTGAGAAAGTAGGAAAGACCGGTGCCAGCGGACAGACTCTCGAGGAAGCGAAGAAGATCAACAAGAGCCTGAGCGCTCTAGGTATGGTTATTAACGCGCTTACCGATGGGAAATCTACGCACATACCCTACCGAGATTCAAAGCTCACCAGAATATTACAAGAGAGTTTAGGAGGAAACTCCCGCACAACACTGATTATCAATTGTTCTCCGAGCAGCTACAATGACGCAGAAACTCTCAGCACCCTTCGATTTGGTGGAAGAGCAAAAGCTATCAAGAATAAGGCGAAGATCAACCAGGAATTGAGTCCGGCAGAGTTGAAACACCTTCTCAAGAAGGCCCAAAACCAGGTGACAACCTTCGAGACCTACATCTCTGCTCTGGAAAGTGAAGTCCAGGTCTGGCGAACCGGGGAAAATGTCTCAAAGGAGAAATGGACCACCCTTAGGTCGGCAGACACCGTAGGCAACCTGAAGGCGGACTCCCGTACCACCCGCCCTGGGACCCCGTCTCGACTGCAGTCTGATATTTCTCGGTCAGAGACTCCAAGTAGACCGGATTCGAGGTTCGGCGAGAGATCAAGCACACCAAGCATCGTTCTAGAAAGAGACGAGAGAGAGGAGTTTTTGAAGCGTGAGAATGAGTTACAGGATCAACTCGCAGAGAAGGAGACATATATTGCCAACGCTGAGAAGGAAGTCCAAGAGAAAAAGGAGGAGCTCAAGATCCTCAAGGAAAATGCTATCAGGACGGGCAAGGATAATGAGAAGCTTAATGCAGACGTTAACGAGCTCCGTATGCAGCTGGAGAAGGTATCGTACGAAAGCAAGGAGCAAGCCATTACCATGGACACCCTGAAGGAAGCTAACTCCGAGCTTACCGCGGAGCTGGATGACCTCAAGCAACAGCTTCTCGATGTACGTATGCGCGCTAAGGAAACGAGCGCAGCACTTGACGAGAAAGACAAGAAGAAGGCAGAACGCATGGCAAAGATGATGGCTGGGTTTGATATGAAAGTGGACGTGTTCTCAGAGAACGAGCGCAAGATACGGCAGTTGGTCGAGCGTGTCGACGCTCTCCATGCTACAAGCTCCGCGGGTGAAGCAGTCTCTCCAGACGAGTTTGTCGAACTGCGAGGAAGCCTGGTTGAAGCTCAAGGCGTCATCAGGCAAGCCGAGCTCGCTATGAGCAACCGTGAAGACGGCTTCCATGGTTCCTTTGATGGAAAGCTGTTGGATAAAATAGCTGCACTTCAGCAAGAAGTTGACGAGCTCCTTGAGCAGCATCTTGGGGAGGCCGACATCTCTGAGATCAAGGAGAAACTCAGCAAAGCATATACCGACGGAAACGAGCTAGAAAAGATGGCGATGGAGCATCTCAGGCACGAACTATCGCTTAGGGACGAAGAGCTTCGCCGCCTAAGGCAGTCAGTTGCTGACTCTACACCGCGCCCTCAGCCCAACGGCTCCTCTGTAAGCGCCGGAGGCACGGCGACCATCAACAGCAAGACTCTGCAGCAGCAGATTGCTGATTTTGATATCATGAAGAAGTCTCTTATGCGTGACTTGCAGAATAGGTGTGAGCGGGTTGTCGAACTTGAAATTTCTCTTGATGAAACCCGTGAGCAGTACAAGCAGGTTCTGCAGTCGTCGAACAACCGCGCCCAGCAGAAGAAGATGGCATTCCTGGAGCGCAACCTTGAACAGCTTACCCACGTACAGCGCCAACTAGTGGAACAGAACGGTAGCCTCAAGCGCGAGGTTGCCATCGCTGAACGAAAGCTGATAGCTAGAAACGAGCGGATCGAGAGCCTGGAAACTCTTCTCCAGGAGAGCCAGGAGAAACTAACGGCCGCGAACCATAGGTACGTTTTATGTTTGTTATATAGTTCTAAGGTAATGCCGAATCTAACTTTCTCCCATTACAGGTTTGAGGCGCAACTCACCGCAGTCAAGGAGCGCCTGGAAGCTGCCAAAGCTGGCTCTACCCGAGGCCTTTCCTCTGACTCAACTGGCTTTGGCTTTGGAGGTTCGAGAATAGCGAAACCACTCCGTGGCGGAGGCGGAGCGGACAGCCCGTCCAACTCTGCATTGTCTAGCGTCCAGGCACAGGAATCCTCATCAAGCGCCGCCCCAAAACGCACCAGCTGGTTCTTTGACAGACGATAAGCTGGCAATATTTCCTAGTATTCATACTTACGCCTGTTATGCCCCCTGGTAACTATTGGTAGTTTTGGTATTTTGATATATAAAGTATTTTGTTTTCATCCTTTCCTTTGGAAGATGCTACAGCGTCGGTTCTCCCCTTTTCTCTAGAACGGCCTTCCTTTTTTTCTTTCTTTTTTTCAAGAATAATATAATGCCTGAATGAGGTAGGATAACCAGTCCCAGACATCTACAAGATATCTTTGCTTCTTCTTCTACTACTACCGGATTAGTCAGCTATTAATCCCCGCCTGCTTCTCCGCATTTCCCCCAGATTTATCAACTTTGGATATGTAAATCAACTTTTGTATCTTGTCTTATATGCGTCTATATATGCATAGATATAGTCAGTGTTTTGGGGATTTCTTCTTTTTGTTAAGACAGATCAGCTAAAAGTTCGTCTACGGCGAGTATGGGTTCCAACCAGTCGAAACTGCAAGAAGCTCCAGGGCGCAGCGAGAAGGCCGTGGCATCGATGAACATGTCCGGCATAATGCAGCTCAGCGACGACGAGTATGTCCATGTCGAAACCGGTGCCCGTGAGTTACCAAGCTACTCATGCTATCTAATAGATGTTGAATTGTTTCACCACAGCTCCGCCGCCTTATTCTTCCACTCGCGGGAGATCAGTTGGGCTTTCAGCCCAGCAAGCGGAGACATGGGAGAAAGAGCTACTTGCTGACCCTAAGGTGACCATCAACATAAACTGCGAGGGAGATCTCTAGCATATCATTATTGGGCCTCTGACCCTGCTGCCTAGAATCGACTCGCCATGTCAGCGCTTTCGACCAATCCGGTCTCGTCTATTTTGTCCAACCCTTCCTCGGCCGTTGTCGATACCCAAACTTTCAACATCAAGATTCCATTTGAAGGGAGTCCTATAACGAACCAAGCGTCTTCTGGTAGATGTTGGATTTTTGCGGCCACAAATGTCTTCAGGGTTGCCCTCATGAAGAAGTATAGCTTGGAAAAGTTCGAACTGAGCCAATCATATTTGTTCTACTGGGATAAGCTGGAAAAGGCCAACTGGTTTATGGAGCAGATGATCGATACCGCTTCTCAGTCCTTGGATAGTAGGCTGGTACAGCGGCTGCTGGAGAACCCTGTGGAAGATGGTGGCCAGTGGGACATGGCTGCGAATCTCGTTCGAAAATATGGATTGGTGAGATTCCTAAACCCCATACCCCATTTTCTCGAAGAAAAGCCATTGCAAGAGTCCAGCCTGACCGTGTTCCTTTATGATAAAGGTCCCGCAAACCCTCTACCCGGACTCCTTTAGCTCGCAGAACAGCAGTGAGCTGGGGAAGATTTTGACAACCAAGTTACGCGAACATGCCTTGATCATTCGCCGGATGGCTCGTAGTAAAGATCCGTCGGCTAGTTCATCCATTGCAGATGCCAAGGACAGTTTCTTGAAGGAGATTCACTCGATCCTCACGATCATGCTTGGGCCACCCCCATCTGCCACCAGAAACTTTGACTGGGAGTACTATGACGCAAAGGGAAAATTCCACAAAGTGTCTATGACTCCGATCCAATTCGCAGCTGGTCTTTCAGATCGTGACGGCGTGCGTGCCAACCAAGGAACTGATGTGAATGAGCTCTTTAGTTTAGTAAACGATCCTCGGAATTCCTATGAGCGCCTCTTGACAGTGGATCGTCTAGGGAACGTCGTCGGGGGGCGGCCGATCACATACGTAAACGTATCCATGGACGTAAGTAGGCGTCAGCCCCGATATTTTGGTCTAATATTTAATGACGGGATGAATAGGACCTCAAACGGGCCGCAGTCGCCATGCTCCATGCCGGTCACCCCGTATTCTTCAGTTGTGATGTTGGCAAGTTCTCTGATCGCAAGCGTGGAATCATGGATCCGGCCCTGTACGACTATTCTCTCAGCTTCAACATCCAATTCGGCATGTCCAAGGCAGGCCGACTGAAAACCGGCGAGACTGCGATGACACATGCCATGGTCCTGACGGGAGTACATGTTGAGAACGGCAAACCTGTTCGCTGGCGTGTCCAGAACTCGTGGGGATCCGAAGTTGGAGACCATGGCTGGTTCGTTATGACAGACAAGTGGATGGACGAATTCCTCTTCCAGGTGGTGGTCGACCGGCGATACGTAGCACAGAACATACGGGATGTATTGAAGCAGAGACCTGTAGTCCTCCCGCGTTGGGATCCCATGGGGACTCTCGCATGAATATAGACTTTACAACAAGTGTTGTATAGTTCTATAATTTACTAACTCTTCACTTGAGACGCATTTCATCTTTTCTGGCGTACCAGGGCCTTACCTGGTAGGCTGACCTTGTTCCCACCAGCAGTCTTCTCTTCAACGTATTTTCCAATTGTTCTTTTGTAAATATGTAGCTAAGGAAGGACCAGGTATTTATCACGTGACATACTCAAATGGGAATCGCAAGCTTTTCTATAAAGAGCGCGAAAACTTGACTTAAAAACTACCAGATTCCATGAGTTGGATACGTCGAGTTGTTAAGATGGCGGAGGAAACTGGAGCGAAAAGACTCAAATCGCCACCCTTGATTGGCACTCATAAGTGAGCCCCCATACTATAAATAAACTCATAAAGACAATGCGACTAACAGTGTGGAATCTAAGCGGTCACTTCCACGCAGATGAGGCGCTCGCCGTTTATCTTCTCCGCTTGCTGCCCGCCTACTCGACATCTCCCCTTATTCGTACACGAGACCCGGCTAGATTAGCTACCTGTCATACTGTCGTTGACGTTGGAGGGGTGTACGACCCCGCTCTGAATCGATATGATCACCATCAACGAACTTTCGACACAACCTTCCCACAGCATCAGACCAAGCTGTCTTCTGCCGGGTTAGTATACATGCATTTTGGAAAGGCAATAATAGCCCAGCATATGGGACTCTCCAGCGACCACCAGGACGTGGACACCATTTACGAAAAGCTCTATGGAGATTTTATTGAAGCGCTCGACGCACATGACAATGGAATATCTGTCTACTGTCCAAAGGACATCTCTAATGCGGGCTTGGAGAAACGGTTCCGAGATGGTGGTATTAACCTAGGCTCCTTGATCAGTGACATGAACCTCAGCGGACCAGGCGAGAGCCTGGACGAAGACGCTCTATTTGCTAGGGCTAGCACCTTTATTGGAGAGACATTTTCAAGGAAGCTCCACGCAGCGAGCAGCAAATGGCTGCCTGCCCGTGCTACGGTTACCCAGGCTTATCGATCTCGCTTTGATGTTCACCCTTCGGGGAAGATATTGTTGCTGTCAAACTCAGGAATTCCATGGAAAGAACATTTATACCGCCTGGAAGAAGAGGCTGGAAACGCAACGACAGGAGGCACAGAAAATAATGTCATATATGTCATATACCCTGAATCAAGCACTGAGGATGCCAACTGGCGTGTTCAGTGCGTTCCCGTGAGTGAAAGTAGCTTTGAGTCCAGGAGAGCTCTTCCAGAAGCATGGCGTGGTGCGCGGGACTCGGAGCTCGATAGAATCATATCTAAAGAAATGGATGCAAAGAAGCGAGACAGGATACCTGACGGTGCCATATTTGTGCATGCCAGCGGGTTTATCGGAGGGCACAAGAACAAGACAGGAGCACTCGCAATGGCCATTGAAGGCCTTAGTTAGTATAACTCAATAGTACAGCTCAAGGCTCCTTCTTTTGACGGGGTAGCATATACGGTATCAGTACCGCCGATTTTAAAAGCTCCATGTTAACAAGAAAACACACTTATCTTTGACAGTCCTGCCTTCTCTTTATAGGCTATGGCTTGATATTTCTCCCATTGTGGCCTGCACTTTTGTCTTATATCTATAGATGGCTTACTGAAACTTGCTGGCAATGCTACCAAACAAACCCCCCCCACCACCACCACCACCTACAATAGAAACAATCCATTTAATTAATCGATGCGAATGATCCTGCCATCTACCACGGGCGCTATAGCATGAGTCCACGGTGGCAGCTGATCTATACCACCTTGTTCAACAGTCTTGACTCGGTTTGGATCAACCCCAATCCGCCTTCGCCACTTCTGAAGGACTCTTCTGGCGACTAATTCTTTATGGTCGGCATCATCCGGGGACGCAGCACCGGCCGTGACATAGTTACGGGGTCGGGAGAGAAATTCTGAATGTGAATCAGACTCTGAGTCAAGGGGGGGGTCGATGTCGTTTCGATACGGAGATATGGTGCTAATCTGTTGTTGATTCATCATCGCGGCCGCGGCCACTGGGTTGGTGGCCTGCGCAATACTAGGCTTTGAGACGTAGCGGAAGGACGAGCCAGTTGAAAGATCGACGGCAGAGGTAGTGCTGCTAGGTGGTGGAGTCAGTTCCTCTGACTTGAGCTTTTTGTGAATATCAATGAAGTGTCGGTTCAGACTACGGCTAAGCCGGCTCCATTTCCCAAGGATCTTGTTACTGAGGAAGAACTGGCGAAGTATCGTACTGATGAGGAGACCGTCCTCTTCCGAGACAATCTCCTCCGCCTCGCCGCCCTCACTCTTGACAAGTAGCGAGGCGAAACCATCTTTGCCCCTTGCCATATAGCCTCTGGTAGATACCGTGTAAAGCTTGTCTTCTTCGACATCCTCGTCGTTCACTTTTGCCCACATGACACGGGAACCGGGCGCTCTGGATACGGAGAAGGCGAACTTGATGTTAGACACCTGCGGAAACCGCCCCTCTAGAGCAGGAAGCTCGCTGACACCGTTTTCCAACGCCAAACGGAGGGCCTTGCCTGTGATGCGGAGAACTACCACGGGATCTTCGAAAGGGAAACAATTGAGGAGGTCTTTCACTCTTAGTATCCCAGGTGGATAGATTTGGTCTCCTCGAATGGTTCCAGAAGCCATAATCGCACAATCGGCATCGTGGTAGCACCTCATCAGGTCGCATACAAAATTGCCAAGGTTGGATTCTTGTGTGCGGACGGTGGTGAACCGGCCGTCCAACGGAGTGACTGTATACCCGATAGGCTTCTGCAGTTTCCACTTGAGGGCCGATGTAAGCTTGTCTACAAGCTTGACGGTCTCTGGGTGCTCGGGTAATTCGCGTGTGACGTCGCGGCGGGTGATGTTGAAATCCCAGCCAGGGCCGGGCTCCTTTCTCCAGGCTTCGATGTAGCTCAGCTGCTTGAAATCAGTACCAGACCGTAAGATGTGTGTGGAGTTGATGAGGCTGTGGCTGTAATAATGGTCATGGCCGCCCAGAATGATATCGATAAGGCCAGGGGGGATCTTCTCTGCGAGCTTGTTATCATTTGGCTCTCGCTGATGGGTGATGGCGATGACTATCTCGGCACCCTGTTCACGTAGGGCGGGGACCAGCTCCTTTGCTGTTTCTGACGCGGACTTGTATATAAGATTCGGGGGTAGATAGTTGATAGTCGCGAGCCTATTGACTTGTAAGCCAGTTTGCTTTTAGATATAGATTATATGAAGGTTCATCCTGCCTACCACTCCCTTTCGCCCAAGCCGATGACGCCAACCTTTATTCCGTTCGAAGAGACGAGCATGCAGGTCTTCTGACAATTGGCCATGGGCTCGCCCTCTCCCAGCGCCGGGTCGAGCACATTTGCGAGCAGCCACGGAAACCTGCACTGGGACCTGAGGTGTCTAAACTGCGCGATCCCAAAGTCCAGGTCGTGGTTCTACATCTCCGCTAACCGTTTAGTCGTCATCCCGGTCTAAATATGAGGAACAAGAGAGGAGGGGAGGGGGAACGCACGCCAACACAGGCTACATCCGTTCCCACATGGTTAAGGAAGGGGACCATATGCTGGCCCTTCGTAATGGTGCTCTCGAGGCTGGGGTTAAATGCGTCTCCAGAGAAGAACGTGAGCATCGAGGGCTGTCCAGCGAACCCGGGGTCAGATCTATAGTAGTTGACCAGGGTCTGAAACCGCGGGGCGCCACCGCAGGGCTCTGACGAGGAGGCTCTAGACAGGTGTGTCAGTATAGAGATGTATTTCAGAGGGCATGTAACTGTACTATGTCGGTTCAACCGACTTACTCGACATGGTAGACGTCGTTGTAGTGTAGGAGGCGCAGGTCTGGAGCCCCCCTTCTGCCGCTGTCGAACGTCGCGACGGCGGCGCTTTCGGCCACCTGCCGCGACGTATTGGTGTCTGCTGGCATATGCTATGTCTATCTATCGCCCGGAGGTGTTTGTTCCGTGTTGTTTTACCTGTCCGTTGTCTGTAAACAGCCTGATGGTTAGCTCGTTGTTGGTTTCGTGGCGTCTTTGGTACATTTTGTTTTGTCCCAAGCCACCACAGCTGCCATCCCGTTAGTCAGTTACAAGCCCAGACGTAGAACGAGCAAAAGATAGAGAAGTTGCTTCTTCACATGCTATAAGTATACGAATATATATATATCCCTTGGCTATTCACAGTGTCTTCGCCTCGATTGCCAACCCAGGACAGGAGAGCTACAGCCCCAAACACCGCCGTGTAGAAGGGGGACCTGTACCGCCATGCTGTGTTGCAAGTTCCCTATGCGCTTGTAGCATTCAAGTTCACGAAGGGCGCTCCTCTTCATGTCTTCCCATCCGCGAGCACCTTCTCCGGGTACCTAACGAGCGTATCATCAGTGTCAGGACGAGCAGCACAGAATTGTACTTGTCTGATACAAGAGGCACACCGCGCTGATATCATAGCCATGTAGGTCGACTCCGTGTGGTCGTTTATGCAACGTTTTCAGATCCTCTGCGAATGGAATAAGGGTATCATCATCAGTAGCCCGGAGCGTATAGTAAAAGGCTTCGGGTTAAGGTAGTCGTAGAGGGTGTAAGGCTTTTCCTGTATCTCCACCAGGCTCAGTGTCTCTGGGTAGCGGGAGGAGTGGCTGTATATCGCCTGGCCCTGAAAGTCGTCTATGGTTAGGCCGTTGAGACCGTCGTCTGCTCCCACCATTTGGCATATCGAAGGTGGGAGAGTCACGGAAGTGGTTGGGTAACTGGTAGAAAGGGATGCATTCTTCATTTTTTTACTTGTGGGCGATGGCGCGCAGCCAAAGCCTTTAGCAGCACATCTCTTCTCCGTACGATGCCAAACATCACTCTCAACGCTTCGTGATACATATAACTACTACGAATGGGTGTCAAAATATAACCTCTTTTCTATCAATCGTACTGGTAGAGTTATAATACATTCGCTATGGGGTATTCAGTTAGCCTTTTGTGATGTACACACACACCCCGTTGTAGCAGAACACTTGCGTGTTGGAGGCTTTCCGGTAGAGTCCAACATATGTTCAGCATTTTTGTCTAGTTAGCGGTTATTGATGCATATAAAGGTGATAATAAATATGCTCAGTTAACTGTACATGAGGGTCAAGGGAGGAAAGGGTATATATAATAGAGACATAGGACGCGCCAGGTCGGACCTCACTTCAGATACGTCTCCAAGTGTCTCAACATCGACCCCATTTCTCGCTCCAACTTGGTTCGCTCCACATCTACCTTCTGCTCTATTTCTTCACCGGGAGTGCTCTTCCCTCTCTTTCTCGGCTGGTTTAGCGATGTGTCTCCCAGCGGCACTCGTTCAGCGCACATAATCTTCGCCCGCTCAAAATCAATGATCAGGATTCTCTCGCTATCCCACAACATATTCCTCATTTCTACATCACGGTGGAGCACGCCATGCTTGTGAATGGCCTGTAGTGACTCCGATGCCGCAGAAATAACTTGGCCCTTCAAAGCACCACAGTCACTAATACTAGTGCCCGCATGGGCAAGAAGTAAAAAGTGCGGAATGTACGCAATACCGTCGTAGCACATGGGCTGCTTAGGGATATCGATAGTGCCGAGACACACAGGAATATGCACACCCTGAATTGGCTGCAGCCGGTCATAGACTGCTTTTTCATGTCTGAGGTAGTGACGGAATTCCCAAGGGAAGCCCTTCCCCACGAAGGTATAGCCATATGCGAAAAGGATGACTTCAAACAGTGCGCCGCGAGCACCATGTCTGTGGAGCGATTCGCAACCTAATGGGATTCTCGGGTCTGGTTTCTGCTGAATTTGTGCCTTGAGCAGGGTGATGAAGGTGGTGTGGTCAATCCTATGATTGTCTGTTCCGTGTTCCTTAGCATTTGGGCAGGCACTGTCCAGCGGCCCGCCATTCACGAGGCCAAGTAAGCACTTCTGTGTGCAGTATCGCCGAGTTCCATCCCTGCAAACAGGGCCCTTGTAGGATGACGCCCAGGCAGGTAGAGGAGGTGGCACAACCATGACATTCGTGGGCGGAGGCCGTGGATTGGGTGAGCCTGAATCAGGGCCACCGCCGTCATCATTATCTTCATCACTACGGCCTGGAAATGTAGAAGTTGGTTTGCACGTCGATCGCACCCTGGATCGGGTGCGCACAGGCGTCCTCTGGATAAACAGCTTTGCGCTCTTCAGGGGCTCATATGGTGGAGAGGATCTCGCATCGTTTGCTGGTGGTGTTGGTGATCCTAAATCTTCTTCGACAATCACCCATGTTTTCAAACGCTCCTCTGCCCAAATTCGCCAGTTTTGATCATGCGGGGCGGTTCGTATGGCTTGCAGTGCAAAAGCAAGGACTTGTCCAGCAGCTGTCATATGCAGCCTATTGTCACCGTCAAGCTCTCCTGTAAAACCGGTCGTCTCGCCCACGTCTTGCTTAGGGGCCGAAAGGTAATAGTAAACAGTCCCGGGGTCTTCAGCATCAAAATGGAGGAAGATTAAGGCTTCACCGGTACTCACATACCCGTACTCAACACCGGCCTTGATCATGTAGGAAAAGGCTTGCGTGATGACGGCGGCCACCAGACGACGATGTCGGGTTTCATTTGTGTCAGCGCGATGACACTCGACTACCTCATCAAGCTCCATGTCCTGAAGCCCGTCCTGAATAGCCGCCAGTGGGAGTTTATGCGGTGGCTTGAGCTCACCAATAAAAGCCGGTCTTTTGACCTTCTCGCCCTCGTCGTATACACAAAACTCATCCGCCAGCGGCCGGCCAGAGGTTGGAGGGGTATTTGGTGTTGCAGTCCCTCCGGTGGCTTTCCGGAGCTTTGACGGGCGAGCAACAACTTCCTCTTCCTCTTCACCATCGGTAAGGGTATTTGTATGGTTTTCGAACACGATATGTCCCTGAAGCTTGAACGCCTCTCGGAGTTGCTCGTTTTGATAGAGGGCCTCGATCACCGACGTCGCGGGTACCGTAATGGCATCGCGTTGGAAGTAGTGGAGGTCTAGCTCCGAACGAATTATTTTTTTCATGTTGTGTCCTATGGTCATCAACCCATGTAAGGAGCTGAAGTGGCGCTGCGTGATAAAATCCCCATCGACCAGTTGGTCCCAGATTGCTGTCTGCGCTTCGGCAAATAGAGTCCACTCCCGGATGCGGTCAGGGCGGAGTTTGCCGTCTGCATTGTTGGCACTGCCTTTGGTCGAACCTTTGGGATGCCCTGGGACAAGGCCGAGGAAGAGATGGGTGTGGCACGCGTCAAGGTATTCGGGGAGGGTCGAGCACCGTATCTGTTCTTCAAGACGCCGCTTAGCGTCTTGAAGACCTTGCTCAGCGACTCTCCGACGTTGTTGTTCATGCTGTAAAAGCTCGCGCAGTTTTTTAACCTCATCATCGGCCATTGTAACGAAGGAGGGGAGATGTTGCGTAGAACCCCGTCCAAATCTGCCCAAAGGTGAGCCCACGCTGATTGGCGGCAGAGACTAGTTACTTATTGTTTGACAAAGCTGGGGTTTCATGCTTTAAGATGTCGGTGGCCATATCGTATATAACGAGAGGGAGGGACGGGACCGGGGTATCTCAAAGTGGCAGAAGGTCCAATCTATGGTTGCAGCAGGCAAAGGAAGCGTCTTTTCCCACCTCGAATGCCAAGGTAGAGATAAAGATGAAGAGTATCGAGCTGATGCTTTACATAGTACATGTTCACATCTGATGGATGGATGTTGTGTCAAATAACGAGCAGGAGCAGCGAATGACGATTTGGTTCAACGTGTAAGAGCACGTGAGATGACTAAGCACAACACCTGAGTGGACTTTTATAGTCACGTGATATATTAGGGCGTTACACCTTTGGCTACTTATATAAATCCTGGGGAAGTCTTTTAAAACACACAACCTACATAGTAAGCCTGATTAACATTATTTCACTGAATATTCTATCCTCGTGAAGTGCTCTTCGCTCTAGAAAACGCCTATTTCTCATCCCATCATATTCCAACAGCCCTGGCACGATACTCAGAATGTTTGACTCGGCTTCCAGAAAGGCTCCTAACCTTAAGAAACGGAAGTCTCCGACTCCAACTACCACTAGTAATATGTTGTTAACGAACCCTACACGGCTAACTTATACGTCCACCAACATCTCCTAGGCTTCTTCCGCAACCTCTGTGCCGTCTGACGCTACGAAGAAAATGACTGCAGAGGAACGCTGTCTCTGGATCAAGAAGGCGTTTGAAGAGGTAAACAACATGTCGCAACGGGGTTAATGAAAGCCTTAGATATTGACACGGACAAGAACTTTTTGAGAACTTTTTGTTATTCCTCCGGGGAATGGCCTTCTACCCGTACTATAAGGAGTACTATCTTGAAGGAATTCTCCCAAGACAGGAGGCTGCCAAGAAAGATGGTAATAATGTCCCTAGAGGTCCGCGAGTGCGTGACGTTCAAATGGCCATCCAAGCAGGCGAGAGCGGTGGGAAGATGAATTGCTAATCAGCGACGGGCGGATCTTCTTGGCTAGGGCAGATTTCGACATAATGCTATGGACGATATAAGAGCAAAAGGCATCATAGCCAAGTACTAGCCTTACTCCAAAAATATCCCCTATTACACCAGCCAGATATCATATCGAACTCCGTATACCAAAGAACGGAAAGGCCTTACATAATATAGTACCTGGTTGGTTTACGGGCGGATCAACGACCCTGTAGCAATCGCTCATCCGGCACCATTGGCGAATACTAATAATAACATGTTTCTGTTACCCCTGCATAAAACAAACCCTTAACCTTGTTACTCTGTAACCCGTCAACTACCGACTGGTCCGACCGAGGGCTGAGAGTTAGGGACCAGGTTCTATCACCCTTTGCTTCCCCCCACACAGCCACCTCTCTATCGCACGATAGTGGTGGCTTCGCGCTCGAGTCAAGCCTCGGGATATGTCCTTGATGAGAGCCCGGAGCATCTTCCCCACGAACTTTCTGCACCACCAATTATATAGTTAGTTCTATAACTGTACACCCTGGGATGGCCAGATCAAGGCGTCATCTCCGTCCCTCCTCGCCTACTCTCGGGCCCCATCTGGGGGAAATGGAAAGAAGAAAAAGGAATAATATCATTGATGACTGTTATTCGAACAACATCTCCAGGGGCGCTTTCAACAATCAACGATGATGATGTCTGGCTTGCGACCAGAGCCGAGAAAATAAGATGTCGTTCCAACCAACTTAAGCGATCGCTTGGCGGGTAGATCAACCGATCGCTGTCAACCACGCTCTGATCTTCGTCTATGAATATCAGTAAACATCAGGAACATCATACCGTCTTCTTCAATACCCTCCGCAAGCCCCTAAGGCGCCAAGTAATGCCTGTCATATGCTTGTTTCAACGTCTGTTTCCTCCATGCATTTCAAAGCGGAACCCGGCAGCGCCAAAGCACGAACTCCACTCCACCCTTCCCCAGACCTGTTGGCCCGTAATATTGACCTCAGCCATGGCCTCGCAATTGAGCACGCCGTCTGGCTGCCGTATATCGGTCCTTCGAAGATACCCATTGTAGCCGGTCCGATGCAACCCCTGGACAATTTCCTTGTATTTGGGATTATTTCCTGGTTTTCATCCTGGCTCAAGGTCAGTATGGCTGCAGGCACCTGGATGCAGGGGATGGTTTTATGCCGATATTATCCTGAGCAGGGGGTCTAGCTCGCAAGTGATATAAAGAAGGATGAGCTTCCTCTGGGGAAGGAGCAGTAGCAGCAACAACAACATCGATAACAACAAGAGACATTGATTCTCTTGATCACCAACCTATCACTCAATCATATTTTCTATCTCTTGCTTATCCTCCTTTCACCATGCAATTAGTCGCTGCTCTCGCAGCCTTGGGTGCCCTGGTAGCCCCGGCTGTTGCTTACCCTCACGCCCCCATGAACGAGACTCTTGTCGACGTTCAGCTCACCGCTATTGGAAATACCATGATCAAAGCTATCATCACCAACAAGGGAGACACCCCGTTGAACATGCTCCAGTTCAACACCATCATGGACGAGAACCCTAATCGCAAGGTCATGGTCTTCAAGGATGGTTGGCACATACCTCTCCTCTATTTTGTTAATCGAGTATGTAGGGTTGCTAAAATGACGGATAGGTGCCGAGGTTCCATTCACCGGAATGATGCCACATTACTACATGGCTGATCTCACCGAGGAGTTCTTCACCACCCTTGCTCCCCAGGCCAGCGTTGAGCACTCCTTCGACATTGCTGCCACCCATGATCTCAGCGTCGGTGGCAAGTATGTCGTTACCGCTAACGGTGCTATCCCCACTGCGGAGGAACACAGCACCACTATCACCTCGGCTGCTTTGTACGAGTCTAACGAGCTCCAGATGGATATTGACGGCAACCAGGCTGCTGCCGTTGAGCAGGCCATGAACTTCACTCCAGAGATGCAGTCCATTCATGCCAGAGCCCTTGAGAAGCGCACCAAGATCGTCGGCGGCTCCTGCAACGCAAACACCCTTCGTGCCACCCAGACTGCCCTTGGAAACTCTGCCCGCCTTGCACAGGCCGCTGCCCGTGCCGCTGCCCAAAACCCACAGAAGTTCCAGGAGTACTTCCGCACCAACGACGCCAACGCTAAGCAGAGAGTCATTGCCCGCCTCAACTCCGTCGCCCGCGAATCTAGCTCTGCCAACGCCGGTGTCACCACCTACTACTGCTCTGATACCATGGGTGGCTGCAAGCCCCGTGTGCTTGCCTACACCCTTCCATCCCGCAACTTGGTCGTCAACTGCCCAATCTACTACAACTTGCCCCCCCTCACCAGACAGTGCCATGCCCAGGACCAGGCTACCACTACTCTCCATGAATTCACCCACAACCCAGCCGTCGCTAGCCCACACTGCCAGGACTATGCCTATGGTTATCAACAGTGCATCTCTCTCCCAGCTGCCAAGGCTGTTCAGAATGCTGACAACTATGCCCTCTTTGCCAACGGTATGTTTTGACTCTATTCTACCCCTGTTACAGTTTTACTGTTGGCTAACAAGTAGTTGTAGCTATCTATGTCAACTGTTAGACGATGCTTCGGTGCCCTTACCGTGGTCGAACACAGTTCTCACGAGCAGAATGACTTCAACTGTACATACTTTTCTTCACTTTTACATACTTTTCGCTTGGGCTAGCTGAGAAGACATACTTTCTATCCACTTGTCACCAATAAAGTTGACTTTTAGTATATATTTTCGGCAAGGGGTTGTTGGAGATGGCCATTCCACATATCGCTTAGGCACGAACCACTGGCTCTAATACTCTTATACAGCATGTATATATATAGAGCGCCTGTAGTCTCTAGCCCTTTTAGTTTCATCGTACATTCATTGTAGCCCTGTATATATCGCATTTTCCCATGCTTATTTGGTGTCTCTGAAAGCATCATCTTGCTGCTCTGCTATTGAGAAGCTCAGCCGTGTCATGTGATCTCCGTGGCCCCCTAGTCTTCTTCTGACTAAGCTTACACGTGATACGAGATCACATGTTTTTTAACGACTCCAAGAAGGAAGAAGCAAAAAAAAAAGAAACATCACCAAGAAGGGCGCAATCTTCACCCCCGCTCAAGTAAGAGCCATGTTTGCATCGTGATGGCGGCCACTGTTACATGGTATGCACAGTATTCTGTGTATTTTGTGCTGTGTGATGTTTGACGTATTTATTATTCTCTATCAAGCGAGTTTGGCCAACTGTGAATATAAACACTACCATGCAACTACTTCATAGATATACACCCGACAGCCGCAAAGCTACTCGTTGAGAGCCAGCCTAGTTCTCCCTCCTCATCTCTCTCGATATATCCTACAAGGCCCGACCGTATACGATATAAGAAGCAGGTATCATGGGAAGACCACCGAGCATCATCATCGTTGTCAGGTACGGTATATCTGTGTACATAAGGGATGCTTCATCCGCTAACTTCACTCCCATCAGGCATGGTGCCCGACTGGATGCGGCTGATAAACAGTGGCATCTTACCTCGCCAACACCATACGATCCGCCTTTGACGTACGGCGGCTGGAACCAGTCCCGTGCTCTGGGAGTTCGCATCGGGACGCTTCTACAGTACCGTGAACTCCACAGGTGTCTCCCCTCCTCTCTGTCCTCTGATGGCCTGCCGGAAAGCGGCCACCCCAGCCGTCAAATCCAGTCTCCATGCAGTGCGCAGGAACAAGAGCCGCGAAAGCATCGTATTATCATTCATTCATCGCCCTTTCTTCGATGTGTCCAAACAGCCATATCATTAAGTGCGGGGGTCAGTCAGTCGAAGCGTATTCCAGCAGACTCGTCGCCTCACCAATGGCCCCAGTCTGGTACCCCCCTACCAACGAGCCACCGCCGCTGGCGTTCCACTTCCCCTCGGCCACAGCGTCAGGATTCGCCTCAGCTGGCCCCCATACAAGAGCCCGGAGAAAACGCAGGTGAAGCTGCTCATGGGAAAGAAAAAGTTTCCCCGCCAGGTGAAAAGCAATGTTTACTCCGCCTGGACGCTTGTCTAGGAGAATGGCTGACACCAGATTACTTTGACACAATCACACCACCGCCTGGGTCGGTCATGATGCTTGCAGGGGCAAAATCAAGCTTGCTTCGACAAGAAGACTCTGTACCATCGGATATAACTCCTCAGTCGGTCCGTGGACATTTCCCCGGAGGCTGGAACGGATTCTCTGCCAACAGTACTGCGGAAAACGGAAAAGGTGACGAGAATAGCCCCCCAGCAACAGCTGCCTTCTCAGGAGGCATGACAGATATTCTAGATACCGCCGCTGATAAGCCAGCCAACCTCCAAGGCTTATCTAAACTGTCGACCACCTCCCAGACACATAACGACAATGAATACATCCCCCCAACGCCCACATATGCCATATCTCCCTCCGACCCTATTCCCGCGGGGTATGTAGCTCACGCGCGGGATGCATGTATCGACGTAGACTACCAGTGGGACAGCATGAGGGCCCCCCTGGATTGGGGCAGTGGTGGGGAATACGGTGAGGAGTGGAGCTCCATGCACCGCAGATTTCGAAGCGCGCTCGAGAGGATGGTTAACTGGTACAAGGCCGGTGATAGTAGAAAAACCAAAAGGCGGCTGTCTCACAGAGAGGAATCTCAAATGGCCTCTGACGATACCCTGGCTACAGATGAGGATGACGATACTGACACAGTCCTCATAATCGTTACTCACGGAGCTGGGTGCAACGCCATCGTTGGTGCTCTGACCAACCGACCCGCCCTACTAGATGTTGGCATGGCTTCCTTGACACTCGCCGTTCACAGGAGCTGTATTACGGGTGATGAAAACGCCGTCATTCAACCTACACCAACACAGAGGAAATCAGGTAGCTCTAACGAGTTGTCGGATGAGTATGAAGTAAGGTTAGTGAACTCGACCGAGCATCTCCGAGTTGGAAGCAGCAGCTCCACGCAATCACCGTCCCCTAGAGTCCTCCCCAGCCCAATATCATCATATCGGCATCGATTTACGTCTCTATCTACTGTGACCGACTCCTTTGAGAGTGGTTTCTCGATCGGACCATCTCGCAGCTCTAGCTTTAACGGCACCACAAGTGGCTTACGCAATCCTTCAAGGTCCTTTTCTGGTGACAGGCATGCCACCCCAGGCCTATGGGGGTCTACCCCCGCTGCCGAACCCGTTGATGATATTATGCCAAACTTTGAGGGATCTAATAGCGACTCAAGAGGCATTGAAGATGCTGCAAATACAAGAAACAATGCTGTGGATGGTGCACCACAGCGCGCGAAATCCCAGCATGGGCTCTGGAGTTCCCGTAGCCGCGAGCCAACCGCAAAGAGACGCTGGACGGTCACTGAACGAGGAATATGAACATACACATAACAAAAGCTATAAGTCATTATAATGTCCTTTAATCAAACTTCTTACTCATACGACTGATGACTGTATCGTTTCTCTTTAACTGCGCGCATTTTACCTCCCATCTCTTTTTATTATATTCGTGTGTCTATCTTTTCTTCCCAGAAAAGGTTTCCATCGAATACCCACTCTCACTATTCAGTGTTTGTAACTTACATACCTTTTTTCCGGTATAAGATACACATAATCGTGCAGTCCAGACAGACCTCATTATATATTAGGGAAAACAGCTTGACCATAGAAGTGTGTCTTATACCTATTATAAAGGTGTAATAACTTCCATCATGGGGAGTAACAAGAAAAGGCACTTCGAGCTAATAATGTTAATATAGCACACCATGCTGCATTACTATGAGCAGTATCAGAGCCTCAATAAGTTCCACTTCAATTCTATGGGATAGTAATACCAAGCATTTCCTCCCACTGCTTCTTGTTTAGCCTACTAATACACATTGGTAGGAACTTGGAGATATTGTGCGCAGAACTAATTCTGTACAGAGTTGACCAATGCCCCAGGTTTACACACCAACAATGCTTCGATATCAGCAAGGTCCTGAGGCCCTTCTGGGTGACCCTGAGTAACACGCTCGTATGCGCTCTTCAACTTCGTACAGATCAGATCATCTCGTGAGCCCCACGGGAAGTTATTCTCGACGACTTGGGCGAGGGCATGGAGAGAAGATACATCCCACCCGGTCTACGATGTTGTGAGCAGGAGATGATACAAACACGGTTCAGGCCTTAATTACTTACGACTTGTCGATAATATCAACATTTATACGAACAGGTTGCTTATTAGGCCTTCGGATTGTATGGACTAGGCCACAGACTTACCAATGTGACATGCATATTAGCACCCAATAAGCTTTTAGGATCCAGGGGGGTTGATGGGCTAAAGGCTTTTACATTCTCCGTACCAGGGTGTTATACTCTAGAGGAAGGGATGAGCTATATTGGAGTCGACAGGGAGCTTCTCACAAGACCATACGCTGCATCAGGTTAACACAAAACAGGCAGTTGCAGCAAGGGCAGATAGTTGAAAATCAGCGTTGTGGGTGGCTATGTATGTTCCGCCACCCACGTAGCATGCGCAAGACCCTTGATTACTGTATCCCCAAGGACAGCGCGTGCTTTGTCTGCACGACCTCCAACAGACAACTTTGGTGGGAATTCCATATACTATCTGGTGGGCTCGTTGATGAGCTATCTCAAAAGTACTTTTCAAGTTTAATCGTTTAATGCATACCACAGGCCGTTAATATACCGTCAAATATAACCAGTCTCCCTGCCACCAGTTGGTGCGGGCTCGTCTTTTTGGCCGAATGGCAGATTTTGACATATATATAACTTGCGCACGCTTAGACCTTCGATACATGGCTTCTCGATATATCTCTAGAGTACGACTCTGATGAG